ATCTTATTGGAAATAACTTGTAAAAAGTCAAATTACAAAAATACCGAAATCCAAAGAAAATTCAAAACGGAAAGTCCATTAAAAAGTGGCAAAATCAAAAGCTCAACAACATTAAACGAATGGAAAGCAACTGTCATATTCCTGACTTGGTTAAGACATTTCCTTATGTAGAAAATGTGTATTAAACCTGGTTTTATAGCTAGCTAAACCTTTCACTTGTATGACAGTCATATAGCATTCTATTATATTGACAACAATGTGGGTACATTTCAACTTTAGTTATCTGTTTGTCCTTAATCATTATGTGTTTGTTTCCATTTAAACATTACATACTGATATGTAGTTTAGTACATACATCCTGAAACACGATTAATTTGTATGTTTAAAATCGACGACAAACGGTATATGTATATTAAATTGAGTTCCGGCGGGAACCACAGACCTTCGGAAGGAAAACCGCCAATTCTTATCACATGATAGACCATTCATATTTGATCTACTGTATTTAAGTATCCTCGCATTTTAATAGTAAGTATAAAAAGATTATCTGCCCTTTATTGGAATCCATTCAGGTTGAATATTTTAATTAAATCTACTTTAATGTATTCATGCAGCAGTATTTAAAATTTGAAATGCTATTACAGTACAAGATCAACCAGATTTGCTGCAAAATATGAGGCCCTGCCTGCGCGGTATAATTTAAAATAAGTGCATGATTTAATTTTTAAATTCAAAAATTTTAGAATATAAGTGTGTCTGATGAGTTTTTTATATATGGTATGTTTTTTGGCAAAAACAGTTATAAATTACAACATCAGCCAAAAGAATCATTATATTGACGGACCGGTTATTCTCTGTCTATGATGTCTGCTATCTTTACGAAACCTGACACTTCCACGGTTGAGAACCTTGGCAGAATCTTCAGTCTGCACTAGTGTTAAAAGTTTTCCTTATATTGAAACATTTTTTTTCATATTTTCTGTACATTTGTTTATGATAAGTTCTTATATTTGTATGAGGTTTCCACCCCGTTTGATTTCCTTTATTATTGTCGAGACTTTTCTGTTGTTTAAAAGAGGGACGAAAGATACCAGAGGGACATTCAAACTCATAGATCGAAAACAAACTGACAACGCCATGGCCAAAAATAAAAAGACAAACAGACAAATAATAGTACAGATGACACAACATAGAAAACTATAGACTAAGCAACACGAACCCCATCAAATACTGGGGGTAATCTCAGGTGCTCCGGAAGGGTAAGGTAAGCAGATCCTGCTCCACATGTGGCACCCGTCGTGTTGCTTATGTTATTACAAATCCGGTAAATAGTCTAATTCGGTAAGTCACGAATAAATGTTACGAATAACACAATACATGTAATACTGATGATTATTGGGAACTTTCTTTGATTTGACCATATTTGGTTTGCTAATGTAGTCTCATTCATGCATCTTAGCTAGGAGTAATTTGTAAGGCACTGCACTTTTGTTGACATTTTCCTTCTTTTTTAATTTCTCAAGGTGTCTGATAATAATAGTGTAACATTGTGCTAGTGGCCTTATACAATAGTAATGGAGTCTGAAAATGACATACGGGACGAAAAGTGAAGCTTGAGCCCCATATTGTATTTACTGACATAATATATATCGTATTAGGTCACTAGCACACTGTGTAACGATCTATTTTACCAACTATCTTGATAGTACAGAACTTTCAATTGCTTACAGTGAGAACGTTAGCGTCACTATGACATTTTGTCTAAAAGCGTGAAAAATTATAATTCCGTATATTAACAATGTATGTTAATTTGAGAAAAACACCTTTCTGTAACACACGTTACCCTACTACTAACCGTGTTTTTTAAAATAAACCACGCCCACTTACCATGTATTTATAATAAAACGCACTCAATGACCTAATATAAGATGTACACTGTTCCCACGTGTTTGCTTTTAACCGATGATATACCTAGAAGAATATTGGAAGTAACAGAAGGTTATTTTTAAGCCTTGTGGGTAATAATGTTTGTCAACTGCACAATCATCTGAACGTCTCCTTCAGGCAGAATATAGGGACTGTTCTTTGAATTTGAAGTCGATTAGATTTTAAAATTTAAGTTTTCAGACAGAGCACATATTTGCTTTATATTATGTGACATCCACTTTCAAATGCATGTGGTAATATTCCAAACAATCAAATCGTCAGTTCTTTTTATTCTCTCGAGAGCAATGAAAACATATTTCTCTTTGTTTCTTTGATTCTGCATAGTAATTGTTTTGTATTGTGATTTTCAGTAACAAACATGTATGATTTCAGTTTATTTTCCTTGTCTTTTGTTAGAATTGATGCACTTTAGGCTGTCTAAAAAACTGCACTGGTGATGCAGGGGATTAAACTAACATTTACTTGATATATATAATTGAGCTGGATGTATCGGAAAAATTCATTCACTTATGTCTTGCATAATATCTATCCTGTCAATGCTAATTTAAGTGGATTTGCATCTATTTTCTTTTGTAATGCTCTCATGAGATTTGAAATTCCGAAGTATAGAAATGACAAGATTTTATAGCTGGCTATTCTTTAAGTTTCTCATATTTCTGAGCTGTGTCACTATAAGCTGTATATACATTAATTAAGTTTAGTTCGAATAATTATAAAAATAGGAATATGTGGTATGATTGCAAGTGAGGCAACTCTGCACCAGAGACTAAACGACATAGAGGTTAACAACTAAAGGTCACTGTAAGATCTTTAACACTGCGTTTAACCCGTATAGTAACAATATAAGACCCTGAAATGGAAAGTTTAAAACAATTTAAATGAGAACACTAACATCCTGATTTATGTACAATACAATAAACGAAAAACGAATATGAAATACAGCATCAACAACAACCATTGAATTGCAGACGCTGAACTTGGGACATGCACATACAGATTGCGACTTGCTTAAACATGGTTGCTTGCGCTAATAGCTCCCTAACAGAGGATGGACAGTATGTACCAATATTGTTTCAAACAAAAATCATATCTCATCTGAGAAAAAGTCAAATAACAAAAATATCGAACTCCATGGAACATTCAAAATGGAAAGTCCCTTATCAAATGACAAAATCAAAAGTTAAAACACTTGAAACGAATGGAAAACAACTGACATATTCCTGACTTGGTACAGCCATTTCCTTATGTAGAAAATGGTAGATTAAACCTGGTGTTATTGCCAGCTAAACCTCTCACTTGTTTGACAGTCGCATTTAATTCCGAATATTGACAATGTATTTACGTTATTTTTCGTTATATAGTTCTTACAATTATTCACTTATTTATATTCACCTGATCCCAAATTAAGGCTATGCTACACATGTACACCTGGGGAATTTCAATTGATATTGAAAAGGATTGTCGCGTCTATCATAAGTTCATGTTTGAAGTCGTCCTGCTTTGCCAATATCCATTAAAAGATCCAAACAACCTTATAGTGTTTTTAATATATTAAGATGTACAAGAAGAATCTTAAAGAAATAGGGGTTAATGAGTTTATTGAAGGCTGTTTTTGTTTTGTTGTATAATTATTGCAAAATAATAAACAAATATGTTGTCGATGAACAAAGTTGTATTCAATCTTTCAGTGTATTTGTTGATAGAATTATATAGTTCTTTACACAGATAATTCGTATACTAACACAAAACTTGTATCTGCAATTATATATATTGAGAAGATTTTCACAAAGTTTTTATTGTTGTTTTCAATGTTATTTATCTTCAATTTTTATTTTACCTCTGTACTTTTTTTATTCTTGCGCCACTTATGATTATAAGCCTGGCATATATAATTAACATTTTTTTGTATTTAATTCAACATAAAACATGTTGTTAATTCATGAGAAATGATAAACAGACTTAGAGAGGATATGTCCACTAATCATAGGAAAACTAACATGTGTGTAAAAAAGAATTTACAAAATACCGAACTTAAAGGTAAATTAAAAAAGGGAAGTTCAAAGAAACTGACAAAAGGCTATCATATGATGCTTTGCAATATTTAAAGCCGTATGATGATTTACGCTTGCTGTTTTGGTTGTCTTTGTTGCTGTCTCATTGACGTGTATCTTTGTGCCGGTGTTGACATTAGCAGCATAATCCTGCTATTTACCTTTCGATATCCAAGTTCTGTCTTCTAGAGTTACTTCACTTACAACGATAGTTTACTGTGATCTCTTTGATAATTTTGATATATATATATATAAGTTATATATATTATGAAGCAGTGTATGTTTTTTTTTTTTAATTCCCTCTGTTTAATTTCTTGTTGCAGTGTCTTCAATGAATTATTATTATAATAATAATAATAAATTAATTGTTGAATTTTTCGAAATACTAAGGATTTCCTACCCTAAGAATAGAATACCCTAGTTGTATTTTGCAAAATGTTTAGGAATTATAGGGCCTCAATGCTCTTCAACTTCGTATTTCATTTGTTTTTTTTTAACTTTTTATTCGTACGTCACTGATGATTCTTTTGTAGACAAAACGAGCTTCTGGCGTACAAAATTTCGATCCTTTTATCTATGATGAGTTTATTCAAATTGAATTACGACGTGTTGGGACTTCCAAAAACAACCAAAAAAAAAACATAAACTGAAGAGTCTTATCGTTCTAGTATCAATTGTGTACTTGTGTAATCAGTTTACTACCTTCAACTTTAAAATATGTTTACCCATTCCTGTACGTGATTATCAAAGTAACGCATATAAACAAAAGCAAACAGTGCTTCAAAAGAAAATATGGTTCAATCTCATTTTATCGAATAATCATTTTTTCAAGTCCTATTTTTAATAGATGATAATTCTTCGGTACAGTTGGACTGCTATGATTGGTAAAAACATGGATAACTGAACTCACAAGCCCCTTATGAGTCTGCAGCATGCTTTAACGCAGCAACTCAACTACAGCACGGAATGCCAGGATGGCATGGTCTATTATGACACCTGCCTCTTTTTACAAGCCTGATACAGAACACTATCTAGAATAAATTCATTCGATGAAAGATCTTTAATCACATATTTTGTTAATTGGTGACTTCAGTGTATATCTGTACATATTACTTGAGGTATGCATCAATATTGCAGAGTTTGGTAGATTAACGCGTAATGTACAAGTAATGATAAACAATGTCTACTCTTTAATTCGAATAACTATAAAAGTTTAAGAGATTACATACTGATGGAGGCGTATATTATTCAGTTGTAAAGACGCCTACATGTACATATGTAATTTGACTTAACTTCTTCAGGAACGCTGAAATCTAACTTTCTGAAAGTATGATTACCAAAATACATAAATAGCTATATGTTGAAAAGTGACCTGACAACAATAGCCGATCTGTTTTACAAATGTATGTCAATTTTGCCGTATTTGGAAGTTTCTTCATAATTTCTAATTCATAAACATTTTAATAATCAAAGTAACCGATGGATACATCTTTAACTTCACATACAATTAACTGTATTTAAACCGAAAAATTGAACCATTAACATACTCTTTCTGACATAAACTCGATTACTCGAAAATTGAAGCATACGACTCAATTGACTCATGAATAAGGCTATTGTCTTCAAGCATTTCTCAATTTGCCATGTTGACTGGAAGTAAAGTATTGTTAATATTAAATACCGTGATTTGGTTCTATATTAAAGGAATAACAGTACTGTATTTGAAGAGTTGTCGCCGTCAATTGGGGATTTTACAGTCACAAATACAGTTTTACTGTTATTCCTATTTTATTGCAATTATCTTTAAATGATTGAAATTAAACATTTCAAATATCCCGTAAACGTCAGGTGCGATAGTGCATTGTTGCTAATGACTCCGACCGTAAACCAAAGAATTGATGGCGGACGTCATCCAATCAAAATGGTCGTTACATGCCAAATTGCATGGTAATTTTCGTTATACACCAAGAAAATGTCGATATTGAATTGACTTCGGCAATGAGAAAAACCTATACCATGTAGTCGGCTATAAATGGCCCAGACATGAAAAATATGAAATAATTCAATTGAGAAAACTAACGGCCTAATTTTATAACTAAACCATTTAAGAAAAACAAATATGACGGACAAGAATCAACGACAAACACTGAACTACAGGCTCCTGACTTGGGACAGACACATGAGGAATGTGGCAGGGTGAATCATGTTTGTGAGCGCTCAACCCTCCCATAACCTGGGACAGTAGTGTAACTGCACAACATACAAACTATAAAAATCAGTTAAAAATAGCTTAACTCGTTAAATCGGTACAACGCAGAAAACATCAAACAAAACAAATACCGGGCGTGACATGTTTATCTTGTTTTTATTTCTGCGTTTGTAACTGTCTCATTTACGAATTACCTATAATCACCTTATTGAATTTTTTGTTTTGTATTGACATCGACGACACTTACAACACTAAAATTGATAAATAGGCATTTCAGAGGAACAAGATGTATTGACCTTTTCATAAACGGTGACAACAAGAAATGACAATATAGAAAAGTAATGCATTAGTTTTCAACGGTTGATAAGGATCTATTCAAGGAGGAATAACACATTAAGTATGAAGCATGGAATTTCGTTTTGCTTAATGATATGCACCGACATTTATTTTGTTATTACTTACATGACTTTAAATTTACAAAATATGCCATTAATTTTACAATCAATATGATTTAAAATATACTTTCATGACAAAATGAAAACTCAGCTGTTTTTCAATTTGTATACACGACTATGACGCAATGAAATTATATATTGCAAACCACAATTTGAAGAATACATTATGTATCTTGCTTTGCGGCTAAAGGTCATTTAATGGGTAATGTCCCAATACACGAGTCATAAATTTTAATGAGTAGAACATGCACGTCTCATTATGTATATCCTGGTTTGATTACAAAATCCAATCTTAACAATCATATGTGTTATGTAACATGTCCAGATACAATTAAAAACTACATAAATAATGAGATTGTCAAAGGTAAAAACGATTTGCAACTGCAAATATTTTGTAAATATTTATCACCGAGACGCAAGATAAAGGTATACACTTAAGAGGGGAAAAAGTATGGACATAGAGGCGATACAAGCATTCTTTGTCTTTTAATTTTAAAAGATAATGTAAGTATACAGCCGGCAAACATTGTATCATTTTATCTCGATATTAAAAATTCCAAATGTGTTTCCACCAGCTGATAGCTGACGTAAAACCCTACTGGATAACTTTATGTATTAGTTACTCATTTTTAGGGAGGTTTATTTAAAATTTTATGACGTCATTTCAGCTGCTGATTTTTTTCTTTTTTAATTTCAGTATATTTAGCACGTGTAACCACAGACCAGATGAACATTACTTGTTCAGATGTACCGAGTTAAAAACAAGGAGCGTCATATGAACGCAAAAGATGTCGATAACCTGGTTCCGTTGAAGATAGTTCATTATAAGCTATTATAGTGAATCTGTTCATATTGAATACGTTTCGCTTGTTGATTTTCAATTATCGAAGATACATGTACATTTCAATGTTCTCTTAAAAGTTTCTTTTGTGTTGTATTTCAGAATGTGAGTTTTTTTTTTTTACTGTAATTTTAAATTCATATTGATTTTATAGTATTATTTTTTATTTATGAGTTCCTTTTCTTAAAAGTGTTGACTTGGCTTCTTAATGGTGTCGTTCAGACACAATATATACACATAATGGCGATGACATAAAACAAAGTATGGTAATTAAAAACGATTAGTAAAAATTCTTTACCTGATCAGCAGTATATATAAATGTATAGAAATAATTTTTGTCAGGAAAAAAGCTACGTTTGTCTTTTAAAGAATAAAACAATGATTTCATTTCAATTATAGCATGTATTTATTATCTTGTTATTCCTATTGTAGAATGTTCGTAAGTGCTTCAGTCCATAGAAAATTTCAGATTCAAGAATTTTAAAATGTACTTGGTTCTTATTTATATTTTAGCATTGATCATGACATTTCACCTTTTTTTAATTCAAAATACAATTTAATCAGTCAGAAGTTGAACAACCGCATATAATAGCTTAACCCAAACGATAGGCCAGAGTCCAAAATAAGTACGATTTCTTCAATGTAACAGATATCGAAATCCTGGGTCCTTTTTTACATGGCAACATGATACGACCAAATTTCTCATTAGGCACGCAAATTGATGATGTTAGATTGGGTAGTTAATGAAGATCATTGGCGTATTGCGTTTTATGTCCATATTTTTTTAATAACGTTTCTTTTGATTAACAAACGTCCTGTCCACGGCAGGTCCAGCAATTAAACAGTCAACTCCGACCGGTTTACTGGTCAGTATACTTAGATCAGATGAATGTTTCATCAGCAATTGACAATACATAATCACATGTAAAAGAGTCACTTAGTAATCGCAAAACTGCAAACTTCAAAATGTAAATTAAGAAAACCGTTAACGTCGGTGCTATGACATAGTTATGAAAATGTAATTTAAGGTTTATGTTTGACTTAAAATACATTTTTTTTTATTGGTTGAGAAGATAACAATCCTGGTTAATCTCCATATATTGTTGATTCATTTTTATTCGTGGTATATCAATTTCCCTGGATTTCGTGGGTATCAGCAAACCACGAATTTAAGAGTTCCACGAAGAATAATCCCGAAACGTGTGTATTGAGTGGGATGTCTATTTCCAGTTATATTGTGTAATTCTAGTATGGTGCTGACTTGCGATGAACATGGTAACATTAAACGTGTTTCTGAAATAAAATATAAAAGTATTTTGATTAAGTGAATAATAAAATCTTTAGAATATTAATGAGAAATTACTTTTTTGAATTGATTAAAATTGTTCATGGGAAATATACGCAAGTTGTTAATTACCGTGTCATAATTTAGTGATTACAAATCAAAAGAATCGGTCATTGCCTGTAGGTAATATTGTTTATGACAGGTCCATCAAATTTCACACCTATGACTTTTAAAAAATTTTTAAAAATAAGGTAGCTCAAGTAGGACACTCATTGCCTTAGAAATAAAATTTTGGATAAATTGCTGTTAAAGCATTTTTGTTTACCTTATTCTTGCAAAACGACATTTTTTCGTAAAATGAGACTGGAGGACAAAAATTGCATTTCAAATGATATTCCGATAAATTGTCTTTTTAAGAAAAACTCTATCTTTTTTCGAAATACAATTTTCTTTAGAAAATGTTGAAACGTGGAGCTTGGAGAAAACAAATCGATTCTCAGATCATAATTCAGTTTACTTTCGTTGAAGTATGTTTGTTTCTTTATCCGGGACAACAACGACATTGGGCTGTAAACATCAAATAGTGTTTCTTACTTCTGATTATTTGCTATTTTCTTCTTATTATATCGTGATTAAGGACACTAACTTTCAATCAGTTGAACATCAAGGAGATTGTGATACCTTTTAAAATTCCGACTAGAAATTATAAATTGTAAAACAAACTGAAATAATAAGCTGCCTTTGTCCACGCTTGTATCGAAGTTATAGATGAACACTTTACTCTAGAATGATGACGAGAGGATTTTGACAGTTTAAAACATTTTCAATGAGTTTCTATCTTTTGTTTTATTATTATTACAACGGCGATCCCCTAATTTTGCGAATCTGAAACATTTATTCTTCATTTTTGAAACAGCTATCCACCAAATAATATATCCTACGAAATGTCTTTTTTTCACAATCCACCAAAATCGATATCCACGAAAATAATTGAATCCACTGTAATTAAAAATAACCCCCGCAAAAAGTTTCTGAAAAGACAAAATTAGCTTTAACAATTAGACCAAAGGTCCTAGACCCATGGTTTGTTTAGCAAGGACACCGGGGACCAATGACCTTGACAAAGTTCATAAGGTCAAAGGTCAATGTCATGTCCTAGAATATGAATTAATGTTTTTGACCATATTTTTAGGGTTGTATGTGTGTTTAATGCTTTTCAATGCA